CAATTCCCTCACATTGCGAGGGGGTAGCGTGGCAGCACGAATTTGGTTTTCCAAGTAGGACCACAAGTGCTCTATTGGATTAAGGTCAGGTGAATTTGGGGACCAAGACATGACTTGAAAGTCACTGGAATGTTCCTCGACGATTCGACCCTTATGGCATGGTGCATTATCCTGTTGGTAAACACCATCCCCAGCAGGAAAAACTGTTGCCATGAAAGGGTGAACCTGGTCTGCAACTATGTTCAAGTAGCTTACAAACGTCAAGGATTGTTCTATGAGGATTATAGGTCCTAATGTGCCCCATGAAAACATTGTTCCTGGGCGAGAAACCATGAAAACCTGGGCGAGCCCATTGTTATAGATGGGGGTGGTAATAATGTAATGGCTCTTCGGTGTACATATATATATGTATACACAGAAGAGCTTTGTTATTAGTAAAGCATCAGGTTTGCTACCCTATTTTTACTATTCATCTTATTCTCGACCGTGTTTCATGTTCTCTCCGGTAGAGGGCAGCATTTGTAGAGGTTTTTAAACAGTCATTAGAAGTTTTGGGTAAAATTTCTGCTGGTTCAAACAAAATTGCGTAGATTCGCATCTCGACGATCAGGTAAATGCATATCGATGTAGAGCAATTTCCTGAAGTACTTTTTTTTATCATATCTTCATTTGATATTTTAGAATATGAAGAACAGATTTCTTTTTCGTAAAAACACGACACAAAAATTAAATTCATAACAACTGAGCATTCCGAGTATATACAAACAAACCCGGAAAGTGTAAAAAAGAAAGTCACATCAATGCTATGACATCAGAAAAGGACCTCAAGACTTCCGGTGTTTTTTTTTTTAGGATAGATGGTTTGTTCCGGACGCAAGTGCATAACCTGCATTTATACGCTTATTTTACTTAGTTTACTTCTTTTATCTTTCTTCTTTTGGCAACACCATTTTGATATAGTTTTGTACTTGTTGACAGTTTCTATGATTAAAGTTTTGTTCCATGTTAGGTTTAAAGAGCGTTGTATAAAATTAAGAAGACGTCCGCTTATGCACAGTACAATGGTGAGTTAGTAAAGTATCAGGTTGGCATCTGCATTGTTTTGTGATTGTAGACAGTTTGCACGATTTAAGTTTTGTTCCATGTTAGGCTTAAAGAGTGTTGTATATAAATAAAAGCACACACGCTTATATAAAATACAATGGTGAATTAGTAAAGTATAAGGTTGTCATCTACATTTTATATGAAGTAATATTCAAGCAGTTTATACTTACTTATACTTTGTCCTCTCAGTATATCTTTCGAAATTGGATAAGTTAAATTCACATCATGTTGCCCAACGCGTAATCTTCTAATGCATCCAATTAGCCCACTATTAATGCCTATATTATCAAATATTCTGAAAGCAAAAGGAAAAATGTTACTAAGATTATATTTTCAAATAAAGTGTTACTTAGCTTTAATGTTAAAAATATAATAAAGAGTAACTCTTTAATCAGATCACTATGTAATGATATTTCAATGCTTTTTTAAATATTTGTCTCACGTGGTACTACAGATCCGGCTATCTTTCATATTTTCTGCTGTTAACATTTAAGTTCAGAGTAGACTTTCTCTTTTAATTGTGGGCAATTTAAAGAAACTCATAGAAGAAATTATGCGGTTGTGATATTATCATATTAAGGTTATCCATGGTCTACTTATTAAAATTATAGGCTAATATAATTAACACAAATATCTATAAAAAGAAGCGAGCAGTAATTATGTTCCTTCATAATGCGGTTATACAACATTATAATTAACATATTTAATGGCGTAACTACCACTACAATTATTAAACATCAATTCATTAGTATATAAGACATGCTAGCTCTGTTCAATCTTTGGGTACCTTTTGATAGATAAAGGCTGACATAGACGCATGTATTTCCCCCACATTGGTCTCCTGAGGACATGATATGAATTGACTAACAACGAAAGTAACGCCCCCATAGATGGATGGTCCACATTGAACAGTTGACTTGCTACTTGTGACTGCAACGTTATCTACCTCCTCACGCTGTTGCTCGACAGTCTCATTTACACACAACGGGATCCTACATACACTCGACTGCTAATAGCAACACAGGAGGGACCACACACACACACAACCGTGAACGTAATACAGCTCTCACGACAAACGCTCAAAACTTGGTGAACTTAATCCAGCCCTTACCACAAGCACTCCAATATTTGGTAAACTTAATACAGTTCTCCCGGTCTTTCGCAAATACGGCAACTAGTGGTATCCGTTCATCGATTCGCACTTAGTGTTTTGTATTCATTCAATAAAAGAAAATAATTCTGGGTGTCCATATACATTTTGTTTACGGTCACTCAGAATGATTTTCTTATATAGCATGAATATGAATAATTAAATGTCCCTACATTTTAATTTGGAGAAAATAAATAGAATTCTGAGCGGAAAAGAAACAATAACAAAACAACATATTAAATATATCTGAAGAAAAAACAATATATTGAATTCATTATGATTTTTAAAAAAAAATTTGAATATATCCTTTTTGATAATTTATGAAACAATTACTTATTCAATGATATCTTCTATCATAGACAGATATTAACTGCTTGATGCTTATAAGCAAACGAATTGAAAGTTAGAAAGTTATTTTTGATCTTATCTGCAATTTAAAAAAGGAAAAAATGTAGAATAAAAAGAAAGTTTGAATGGTTTAAACTGATTGGAGCAAAACTCCTATGTGTCTGTAACCTATTACAAACGTTAACTTACAAATAAGTTTCGTTTTTTTTTCTGAACTCTTAAGTGACAAAAACATAAATAAAATTCTTAAATGTATCAATTCGAGTAAGTATAATAAAAATTTGAAAGGCTTGAAACTATTTCAATTGGAAACAGGTCCTTTAAAATAGCGAAGTAGTTTTATTTTACGTTGGAAGTTAATGGAAAAATTATTCAGTAACAAACGCTCTGAGGAATTGAAGAACACTTTATCTCATCTCAGGTCGCCATTTCAATTTCAATTCTCTCGTGGGTAACTTCATTAAAAGAATATTGCTTGAAACATTAAATACTAAAGTGTTCGGCAGTTTTATTCTTGAACGTCTTTGTAGAACGAATCTCTAGAACTTTATTTTTAACATTCTCTTGTAATTGAGTTTTCGAATAGTCATTTCTTTGAAAGGTAATTTGCATCGGTGCAACTAATTTGGTAGCCAGTGCAAAAAAAAAGAAACAAAAATACTAAATATTATTTAGCTTTTTAAATTATTCAATTATGAGAGTCATTATTATGAAAATTTTGAAAACTGTAGCAATCATGAAACGTTTAGAATGCTTTGTCTCACGGTGACCTGTTATGAAAACTGTGAAAAACATAACTTTTCCATTTTGTTTTTCGCAAATCGTATTTCACTTCCCTTATTGTTCTATTTTACATCATTTTATAACCATCGTTGTGCAGCAGACCTAATTTTTGGGTTTACCACTACTAATGTTTAAGTTCGTAACCTTGTAATTTTGAACCCAATACAGAAGACAATGGAATTCCTAGATCAAGTATTAGGAGAAATTTGCCTTCGTGGCGGATTTTTTGATGGAAGTTACCCGCATTTGCGTTACATACAAACCACGAGAACCTCCCATGGTTAGCCTGACGGCAAGGGGACTCTAATCCATTATCCGTCTCCCACTGAGGGTATTTCACGTCAGTACTGTGATTGGTGCCAACTGGATGCGGAATTCGTTTCGACCAACCATAGCTAGGATTCGAACCCGGTTCATCTCATTGGAAGGCGAACCCTCTATCCCCTGAGCCATCACGGCTATTGGTTGTTCTATTGAAAAACAGCCTCTTTAAAATAGTTTAAGAGAGACTTTGTTTTCTTGCACAATTTTGTATTTTTTTTTCAATATTTATATTTAAAAAGCACTTAAATGTTGAGTTTACATAAAAATGTAGGTATTTATTTTTAATCTCAAAGTTGGTATTGCTTTTATTTTTTAAAAAAAACGAAGAAGAAACTCTCGATATATTTTTTTCAGCAATTGTTTAGTATACTTTTAATATTAGGAAAGACAGGTTACGATATTAGTCCAAGATTTTTATTCATGGTGTTCCGTAATGGTGTTTCCAAAAAAAAAAAGCATTCGATTGAGCGCAAATTAATTAACATTTAAACAAAAGCAAAAACGAATGCGATTATTCCTGACGAAACCACAAGTGAAAAACCAAAAGCGAAACTAAAAGCACTGAAATCTAATTTTTATGTTATTTTATTCGTTTTCTTTGAAGTTTTCCTTAAAATTTTATCTTTTACTCAAATGATTTTAACCACTATACATATAGTCAGTATAAGAACAGATATAAGACCTTTAAGTCTGGCAATTAAGTGTTAGCTATATTGAATAAATTTATGCAATTCTAATTTTAATTCTGGTACCAATTTAAGCATCGTGAGGTGGTAGAATTTCTCGGTAGGCATCCATGAACACATTTAAATTTTAGATGGTAATCAAACTGGTTTTGATATATTTGATCATAAATTACACCACAGTTTTTTGCCAGATTACTATGAGGTTTTTTTTTTAAATTTTAAATTTGAGCTTCATAATTTACATATTTATACACTTCATTTTTCGCCGCAAAATTTATATTGCGTGTAGTGATTACATAGATTTAAACACAATATATGACAGCATGTAATTTAAAATTTGGGCAAAACTACAAACTTTAACGCAAAATGGCATGGAATTAACTTGTGGGGAGACTAGTGATAGGCTGTTTTGTTGTGGTAGAGACACTACAGTACTCCCCCACCAGAACTATAGCTGTGATAGAATTCGATGAATGGATACCACTGGTTGATTCATTGCTGTTTTGTTAAAGCCGGAAGAGCTGTATTAAGTTCATGGTCATGGTCGCTCCTGTGTTGCCTTTAACAGTCGAGTGTATACGTTGTGTGTGATCGAGACTGAGTAGCAACAATGCGAGGAGGTGGATAATGTTGCAGTCACAAGTAGCAAATCAACTTTTTTCAATATGTGCCATCTCCTGAAGCAGGCATAGCACGTCCACAAGTCAACAATGTGGGGAATGAGCTTTCGACTATGCCAACCTTTGTCAATCAAAAGGTACCCCGAGATTAAATGGAGTTAATATGTCCTGTATACTAATGAATTGGCATTATATTTTTGAAGTGGTAGTGGCACTACAAACTGGACAATTTATTTTAAAAAAAATTGACGCTTCTTTTTGGCATACCTTATTTAGATCAGTTCATTTAATTTTTTTCAACTTACTAAGTATATATCAATATTTATCAAAAAGTGAAAGTTATAAATTAAAAGTTTTCTTTTCTTATTATCGCTTACTTTGGCAAGTCAAAAAAAAAAAATAACGCTTCTCTTACAAAACAAACTATAAAACAAATAATCAATAAAATTTCCTTCTATATCAATTTTCTTTTGACACAATATAACAATGTCTTTAAAATATTTAAAAAAAATATATAATATGACTAAAGTATTTCAGTTGGAAAAGATTTTTATATTCGTTTTACTGAATCGTGTAACATTTCCAACTGTCAGTATAATAGTGAATTTAATATATATATGAACATTTGCTGCTAAAATTAAATTAAATATATTTTTCTTACATGTTATAAAAAATATAATATAGGTAGCATAAAAAATATAATAAAGGTTATAGGTATGGAGAAATCTTCAGAGGAAGGCATTGCCCACTTTGGGCTGTCTGGTTTATACTATTGGCCACAGAAATGCCAGAACTGCTACTCTCTTCTCATTACCCAATGGGCACCTGTGGCGAAGCCACGGCGGTGGAGCAGCGTCACCCACGTCACACAACCACAAATCCGTTTATAGGGCGGGTCACATTCACACAAAGGAGAAAGGACATAGAACACAGAGAGAGAAAGAAGCATCCATGCCCTGAGCAGGATTCGAACCCGCCGTCAATGGCTCCGCAGTCAGACACGCTACCCACTCGGCCACCTGGTCGGCACTTTAATGATATGCCTTTGAAATATTAAACAATAATAAAAACACTCAAAATATACAAATAAGTTAACTTAACATATTCAAGACTTCTTTGAAAAAAAACAAGCAAAATGTAAAGAACAATTTACAAAAAATGAAATTCTGAAATTGATAAATTTGAAAAAAAATCATTGAAAAGATGGGCCATTTAGAAAAGGTCCCAATGATAAGTTTAAAGGATATGTAAATATCAAGTTCAATGCTAAATACGTAAAGTGGATATTTCAATAATTTAAGCACTTTTTTTCTACTAACACTTTCAAAATCACTAGCGGTTTTATAACAAATATGCTGAGTTACAAATATAGATAACTTTTCCA